TTTTTTTTGCTCGTGGTTTTCTTTCGCGTAACACACAACGGACTAAGCGAAAAAAGCGGGACTACTCGTGGTCTACAACTAAGCTTGTCTATTTGACATTTCTGGCGATGAACTTGGAAGAAGTTTACGCTCACTACGTTGACCTTACTTGTTACTCTTATTCCTATCACGTTTCATTCAGTTGAAATTAAGGACGGTGCCTATTAAATATAAAGGTTTTTGCGCCAGGTTAAGACCATGCGGAAAAAGTCGATTTTTTCAAGGGCTATTGGAATCCACAAAGAAAACTGCGGGTAGCCACGCATTTTTTCGAGATAATTAGCCTTGAATCTCAACAAAAATGCTGACATCAGCATTTTTCTGAAAGAAAAAAAGAAGAAAAGAATATTTCCTCAGAGATTTCCTTAGAATTCGCGTTGGCATACAGAAAAGCAAACACATTTATAAAGACCTTAAAACTGCATGGTAAATGGTAACATAAAAACCATTNAGAAAAGAATATTTCCTCAGAGATTTCCTTAGAATTCGCGTTGGCATACAGAAAAGCAAACACATTTATAAAGACCTTAAAACTGCATGGTAAATGGTAACATAAAAACCATTTTTAATAAGTTTTTAATAACAAAATCGTTGCAACAAAGCTCTTAGCGTCTTTGACAGCCTTACTCGGGTTCAACTGAAATACAGTCTCAACACCTTTTGCTCACAACCAGAAACTAATCACGTGTTGAATAGGCTTGCCACTTCCATTTCATAACTTAAAATGTAGGGGTAACCACGCGTTTTTAAAAGTTATTCATCTTTTTTGAAAGTTTTTACGGTGCCCGTTACATTTTTCCCTGTCACCTCCCAAGTAAGTAAAACAATTGCGTATCTCGCACTTGTTTTGCGCGCGCACTACGTCATCTACAGGTACGTGTCTACAGTTGGATTTCAGTATAATTTTCGAGAGATAACAAATAGTTTTTCAGTCGGAAGACGGTAACAGTTGGTGCTTAGCGATGTGCTACTATTGTGGTGTTCCTGGTTTTAGTACAGGTTAATTAAACTTGATTTGGTCACAGAGGACAATTTTGCTTTCATTTTAGTCGTGTATTTGGTAGCGTAGTTGATTGCGCCATTGTCGACCCTAGCGCGCCCGTGGCGCTTAAACCATGCCTTGCGTGATGCGCAGAATGTGTGCGCAATAACAAAAGTAGGCACCGTCCTTAAAGAGGTAACATCACGAGAAGTACTTCGGAAAGCGAAAACCCAGGAGACGTTACATCAAGGAAAGTAAAAATAATGGTCTTCAAATAAATGATTATATTAGTGTACTGAAGCTATTAAAGGGGTGTTATTTATCAATTGTTCCATAACCTGGCATTGGACACGAGGTCAAAAAAAGGTAACGATACTTCCGTTTATCAGTATTTAACATCAGTGAGCTAATGGAGTAATTTTTTCATCAAATTATTCTTAACTTATTAATGAAAGAGATGATACGGACGTTTTACTTTGATCGAAACGATGTGATGGCACGAAATTAAATTTGCAAAATGTTTGGCGCGTCTTTCGCTGAGTAAGTTAAAAACGAAGAGGAACGCCAGCGAGAAAAACGTTTTTCCAGACATTTCTACTCAGGAGTTGTGGGTCCCGAAGACCCAGTACTTTATTTAAAATGCAATTTCCTGAAGTTGCACTACATAGCATCTTGGTGTACGACGATGTTTGACTATACTCGCTGTTTCCCACTCTTTGGGGCACGCCACATTCGAGCTTTGCATTGGTTGCAACGCAAAATCATGGAGCTGCCTAGTTTTTAGCCGTCTGATGGTCAGTCAAACTATGAAAAAAACACATTACTTGGAAAGCAAAGCAAATTCTCACGTTCGATATCACAACTCGGACCTAGACTGTCATCGGCCGTATCTTACACATATTGGTTAAATGCTTTAATTTTTGAAAAGATTAGATCACATAGCCACTGTCATTAAAATTTGCGAACGATGGGTGCAGTTGTGCCCTACTACTAAGGTCCAAGACTAACTTTTAAACAAATGAATCGAAATAGAATAAAAGCTACGTCATTTACCCCAAGGTACATCAGTGTATCCTCCAAACACGTACTGTCCCTTTTTGATGATGGTAACCGTGTCACGTTTCCCATCACACCTGCTGTGAAAGGTACTGGCAGCCCAGCCGTGAGTGGAGGCTCGGTAACACAGCACCCACTGAGGGTTCATTCCAACAGCAGGCGCCAGGAACTGCTTGAGGTGACTTTGATAAAATGCGTTGCCGGCTATTATAGCTGAGCTCTTCCACAAATCTGAAAACGAAAGCTTGCATTCAACAAAATCTTTTAGAGTGAACAAGATAATTGCAATTTACATCTTAATCTTTTCCAGCAAGAAGTTGATAAAGTTAATTTATACTGACTGCTTGCGATGAATGCCAGGAAAGATGTTTTAACATAAAGAAAGTTAAATCAAATTGCCCAAATTTTTTATTGCGTTGCAGGGCTTTGGATAGTGTTTATCCATAGGATATTTTTGAAATAGGCTTCTTAATAATTTACTGCAAATGTAATCATCTTGTTGGCAGCAAGTACCTCCCAAAGGGTTCGTGACCTTAATTATCCACTACTAAATTTATCCAGATGGTATGGCAATAACTTACTAAAATCAACCAATCAGATCGGATCATTGCTGGTCCAATGTTTTCCTTAGTACTGGACGGGGCACTTTCTCAAATGATTCCGCAAGACCACTCTTAAAAGATTTCTTGTAGTTTAAAGATTTTTTTGAAAGAATTAACTTACAACGTGAAGGACTTTTTCTTTTTTCCAAAATTTGTTTTCCTTCTCGTTGTTGAAAAAGTGAGAGGTGATTACAGGCTGAGTCGCTTCTCAGTCATCATTAGGTGCTTTTTGTTTACGTTGTTTACGATTTTTTTTTCTTTTCTAGTCCGTGATCATAAGAATATTTTATTAAACACTTTCAGTCCGGTTCTATCAAAGTTCTTATTACCTAGGCTTCGTCAAAACCGAACGAGGAGATTATATATCGGCCTTTCATCTTTTCTTTAGGCGGACCTTACTGCCATTTGTACCTAAGTTGTCAAGACCTCGAAGGTCATTTTGCCAGCACTATCCCCGCGCTTAGGTAACAAGATATATGTATGCGGCGTGTTTTTAGAAAAAAAGAAATTAATGTTAAAGAGACTAGTTGCGCAAAGAATGCCTAAATCATGTTAAAAGACAGAAGACCTTGAGAAGAAAGTTCCTACAGACGACTCTTCTAAAGAATTGCGTTAATTACTGTTTCATGGGCATCGTTGCATTCATAAATTATCCACAACTGCTTCTTACCTTGGTAAAAATGCAAGGTTGTAAGCGTAGTAACCGATCCCAGCTTGTTAGTGGCCTTGCATTGATAAGGACCAACGTCTTGAGGACTAAAGTTGGAGATATTCAGTGTACCATTGGTAACAGTGGTTCGCCCTTGTGGAAGTGGCACAAGTCCTCTTGACCAAACAATCGTTGGTGGCGGAAAACCAAAGGCTCGGCATGAAACCGAGGCTACTGAATTCCCAATAACGTTTGTGAGTCTATCAGGGGTCTTAGTAAACTCTGGAGGAACTTAATAGAAAAAAAAGAAAAAGAAACTAAGTAAGTTATTCCATGTGCTGTACGTTGTACGTTGTACGCTGTACGCCTGCACAGGTGACCCATGCGCTTTAGAGACCAGACGGCAATTTGTGACTGAACGAGGAAAATAAAAAGAGCCGAAATTTAAACCTAGGCCTCACTGCCTGGGTAATGAGTTTCATGGACTTTTGACCTCATTTAGACGGGGCTCAAGTCTACTTCCTAGAGTTTGTAATCACCTTTTATGATTATTAGGGAGATGGACTGCTAAGTTTAAACTTAACCCTCGTACATACAAGGAGAGGGAGTGGGAGTGGAAGGGTGGATGCAATCCCAACAAAAGGTTTTTTCAAAGTCTTGAAAAGAAGATTTATTCTAAGATGCTGAAACTTTCAGTAGCTGTTTATTCATCCTTCGCAAAAATTTTGCTATGTTAATAGTGGCCCCATGATTTTTTACGTGGCCACGGCAGCTGCAAAGTTTCATGCAGGTCTGGCGAAAAATCTGCTTTTTTGAAATAAGTCTACATTTTTTTTTTCTCAAGTTCTCTTTATCATATTGCAGAAAGTCCTGATTTTTTTTCTTATTTTAATTTTAAAATTTGTTTTACATTTTATAAGCATTTTGGCTTGATTTTGTAATAATTTCTGCTATTTTTGACGTTGACAGATGGCTGAACAAATAACGTCCAAACAAACATAAATGGCATCATCTTGTAGAGCAAGCACAGAGCTATTTACTCAATAACTGTGTTACGTTGCTCGAACGAAAACCAATGGAGGAGCTCCATCTAACCTCTCCTCCCTCCCTGTACCACTCTGGGGGGTTGACTTTCCTTGTCCGTCCCAGGGTTAAATTCTATTTCAAGAAACCTACCTTCCACGAAAAGTTTTACCACCTTTTTAGCTTCGCCCAAGACATTTGTAGCCGTGCAAACATAACTCCCCGAGTCATTGTATCCTGCACTCTTGATCTGTAGCTTATTATCTTGACCGTCCGTATTCACAAGTCCTGTTCCACTTGTTTTACTCCAGGATACGCTAGGCTTTG